GGTTACCAAAAAGGGATGCATGTAGAGTCAGTTCCATGTGCCACCCATATTGCCAGGATCCTTGCTATGGCACCTGGCAGGACATTTTTGTGAAAAGCAATATTTTGACGGACAGCCCTCAACCGCCGTGGCTCAAGCGAACATGGCTTGCACATGTGTGGCAGGATATTCTCTGCAACGTGTGTACGCAAATGCATCTATATGTGTATACATATATATATACACACGTATATCTATATGTATCGTGAGTATATCATGAATATGTATATATATAAGATCTATATGCATTTTCTCCTACTACAGCAAACAGTTCATATCTTCATGCATGATACCTGGCAATCAGCTTCGTGGGCATCCCACCTTCCACAGTCACGAAGAACGATTATTTCAGGTTTCAGCTTCCACGATCTGATAAAGCAAATCCTGCTTGTTGTGTGGAAACCTTTGGCTCCCATCATTCTGTGCGGCCTCCTGAGCAGGCGGTAAAAGTGGAAACTGGAGAGCAGTAAAACGATAATAGTAATGAAATAATGGCACGTAAGATAGAGGCCCATGAGTTCTTTTGCCATGCTACTTTTTTTGCAAGGGCGTGTAGTGATTGATTGTCTCAATTGTCTCATAAGGGGGCTCCTTTCCTTAGAAAAGAGACTCCAAAAAGTATCTCAGTGAGCCCCGTTCCTAAAGCATCTGCCCTGGAAGCTCATCAGGCCACGCTTTGGGTTATAGCTTGTAATGCATGTTGCTGCCAATTTCTGAGTCCCTTGCATGCTCAAGTAGGAGGGCCCTGAATAAGCATAAAAATAAAGGGCCTGCCACCTTCGTTGGGTAGCCGACCCCCCCTTTTTGTCCGAAGGCCTTGCTTGGCGAATGCGTGATCCTTAAGGAAGCATCACATATCTTGTCTACACTCAGATGGTCATGTATACGCTAGATGGTGGGCACTGAGGCTCATGGCGTGGGCTGGCCCCAGCAATGGCAGCCCACAGGCAGGATGCTCCGAGATAGGGTAGGAAAGGTTCTTGGGGATGAGGATTTAGAGCTTGAAGGTTTGGATTCCGGGATTGTGGCACAAAGCGCGATAGATGACTTCAGGGCTTTGCAAGGGGTATGCTGCCTTCCGGAAGAGCACGGGCAATAAAGTCGTTTCCAGTTTGACAAAGCAGGGCTTGCCCTCTTTTTGGTCAGCGCGGCAAAGCTATTACAGCCGAACGACATGCAAAACTTGGTACAATTGAACTATGCAAGACACAAATGTTGTTTTCTGCTAGGTAATCGGAGATCCGAACTCCACCAGTTTCAACAACTGACTGAGATTGAGCCGAATCATGTCGGGCGGCTTCTTGTGTCCACGGGTTCCATTGCAGTAGGGCAAGAATACAGGGTGCCAAAGCAGAGAGAACAAACATATGAATATGCTCTGAGCTGACTGGTTTAACATCTTCCTTCAGGTGCAGTTTGGGGATTAGAACGAGATACCGTGATGTGCCCTAGCTATGCTAATGCTTCATTCTGTCATTCAGCCAGTTAGTGCCCCTCACATGCTACCTGCCGCCCGAAAATCAACACCGGTTTCACGCAATGCTTTCTTGCTGAGCAGGAGCTAGGGCAAAGGGGCACACTGAGTTACTCCTGTCATTTCCTACACTCCTTGGGGCAAACATGTGAGTTGTTATCAAAATCCTGGACCCCGTTTGTTATGGCACTCAAAATTGAGGGGTGCCCAAATGGGACCCTAGTTTTGGGAATTACCCATGCGAAAACTAAGGGTACCCTGCTGGGTGGCTGTCCAGGAACTTGAATTACGTTACTAGAATCATAAGGAAGCCCCATTATTTACTATATACCCACAGTATGGTGCTTAATCCCTAAACCCCATATACCAATACTGTGGTAGCTAAACTTAAGGGCATTTTCAGCTAAGACCGTGTTAGGCCCCAGATTTGGGGGATTTTTTGGGGTGCTGTAAGGCTGAGGGTCGCCCCAAGCGCAACAACCCTGCCGAAGCCTCAGCTTGGAGGCTCCTGGTGGAGTATGGCTAAAGGTTTAGGGTTTCAGGGTTTAGGGTTTTCAGGGTGTTTAGGTTTTTTTACGGTTTTAGGGTCTAGGGTTTAGGGTTTTAGGCTTTCAGGGGTCGGGTTTTGGGGGTGTTTGAAGTTTGATGTTGAGGGACTCTTGTTGAGCATCCAGGCTCCACTTGGGAAACAGACTTCACTACTTGCATTCTCTGGGGCGGGGTTATAGTTAAAGGCTACCCCACTTCAGGGGTTGATCCCTTGGTGGTTTCAAAAAGAAGGGGGGACCCCAGTATAGATCTCAAAAGGCTACAACCCTCATTACAGGGACCTCCAACATGGTACCCCTAATTTTAGGAAACCCCCACTTGTTGTTGAAGTGTAGGCTGATGGCTTTCAGGCACAGCATCTTGGGTACTTGGAAACAGCAAGAACCCTCAATATACGGTCAACAACTATATGGTTCTTGTACTAAGAAGAAGCTCCAGTATGGGACTCAGGATTGTCCGAAGCTTTGGGTTTCCGGCCTCCTCCTCCTCCTCCTCTTAGAACCGTATACCAACAAGAACCATACAACAAAGCTGGCATCCCATGCACCACGGTATGACTTGATTCCAACCATAATATACCCTATAGAATCCCTATAAACCCCAGTAGTTTCCATTTTATTTTCCATTATCCCTATATAGCCCCAAGATATACCCTATATACTACCTA